GCAAAACAAAACATAGGGACCAAACGCGCAATTTTAGCCAAACCACAGGGACTATTTCAGTAATTTGTTCTAAACTTAAACAAGTGTGTAGTCCACACCCTCCTTACTTGTTTAATACTAATCAAAATATATTTTGATCAACAAGTAAATCCATTACACTTAAATACAATTAGTAAAACAATTCACCAACATATTAGACACTCAATATGCTATTTTGTTTCAGGTTTTCGTTGCTATTGGAGATTAGAACATGACACCGTTACAATTTCAAAACAATAGCAATCCGAACAAAAAAAATATGGATGATAAAAGAGATAGTGATGAAATCAATTTAGACGATGATAAGCCTAGTAGTTAATGTAAAATGAAGAAGTCTAAGGGGGTGTTTGACTTATCTTTTGAGAGACCAAAAGTCATTTTAGGAAAAAATAAAAGGTAAAAGATGTTTGATAAAAACATTTTAAAATCTACTTTTGGATTTTGGATATAAGGAACTTTTTGGAAAAATTAGAAAAACCTGATTTTTTGCAACTTTTCCAAAAATCCCCTTAAGAATTTTTCCAACAATCGTTGGATCTTAAGATCCGACTAAGATCAAGGTCCGAACTTAACAATGATATATATTAAAATAGAATTATATAAAATAATTAAGTAAAAAAATATCAATTTTATTTCCTGTAAATTAAATAACTGATAATTTGTAACGGTCTAGCAAAGATTTCAGACAGTGAAAACCCTATTCACGTGAAAACGAATGGGTTGAAATTTTAGGGCTCAGTTTCCCCCCTAAAACACACATTCGATTATCCCAAAATTCACTACTTTCCCCAAATTTCCCTCCAAAGAACGCTGATACCGCTCCCTCATCCCATCTCTTTCGTTAGACACGACTGAACAACTTTTCTGAGTCCGGTAAGATAATATGGGTGATGATGCTAAGGCCGACAGTAAATCATCCGAATCGGATAGTAGTACTTGGGATTTCGGCGGAGAGGAGACTCAGATCGTTGATACTCAGTGTTTTGATTCTCCAACTTCATCGCCTGGTACGGAATGTATTGAAGTTAAACTGAACCCTTAATGCATATTTTTCGATTCTTTTTGGATGTGTAGATCATCATCCTCTGTTGAATTAAAAGCAAGGGTTTCTTAGAGTGCAGATATTTGATTAATGTTCTAGTGCGATTGTATTGCACAAAACATTTAATTGGCTAGTTCAATCTTGTAACAACCATTTCATTGTGCATTTTGCTATATAGTATTTGGCGATTTGAAAATGTCGTTAGTAGTCAAATCTACTGTGTGTAATGATATTTTCTAGCTTTTAGTTGAAATAGTTTCATGACTGCTTTCTTTCTCTTGAACTAGGTAATAAGTGTAATGGTGATTATACTGAGCAGATGCACATTCTACAAAGTACTATTCCCTTTGATGACACTGCCGTTTTGGAAGATGATTTTGCAACCCAGTTGATGGACCCTGATGGTGAAACCCAAGTGGTCAACTTCTATGATGATACCCAAGTGGTGAACTTAGAGACTGAAATTGAAGAGATGGATATTCTTGATTCTCTTGAAAGGAATGCAACTCAGTTATTCAATGATTCTGATACGGAAGAACTTGTAGGTACTGATCTTGAAGATACTGAAAAGATTGAAGTAGTGGACGACTCTGATGAAGATTCAAGTAGGAGAGAATGCAAACATACTCAGCATACTTCAGGTACTTGGTGAAAATACTGGATATCTTTTCTACATTTTGTCCCACATGGATAAAAAGTGAGAATTGTGAGCTACCAATAACTTCTATCTTGGCTTTTAAGTTGAATAAAAGGTTATTGATTTTTTTCTCACATAGTTTAATGTAATTTAACATGACAGGAGGTAATTTCAGGAATTTTACCTCAATTCGTGCAGCATCTATGAGGGCTTCTGGCCTTGCAGCACGCAACAAGGCTTCTCAAAGAAACAAGTTGAATGATCAACCAGAAACTGGGAGTAGGTGTGGATTCGGTAGGTCAACTGCAAGGAAACTTTTTGCTGAGGAGACACTTCCTGAAACTAAAGAGGGAAATGACAATATTGACCTTTGTGGGAAAGCTAACTTGCCTTTGGAGACTGATTTGGCAGGGTTAAACTATCTTGATTCTCAAGAACCTGGAGAGGCATCACAACAAAACGCACTTGACTTTGTTGACAACTTTCTCAAAGTTAATATTGAGTGTAGTGATAAACCTGACACTAACAAGTCCAGTGAACGCAAATCAAAACCTGTTTTAAGTGCTAAAGGGATTCAGACTTTGGCCAAAAGTTCTAATCTTATCAATGCAGTTGGTGAAATAGAGATTTTTGAATGGGATAACACTCGTGAAGATGAAGCAGGAGGAGAATTTATCAAAAGAAAAAGGGAAGCATTGTTTGCTTATGGAGGTCGAAAGCTGAAATCTTCCTCTTTTTCCAAAGGTGGAAGGAAATTGGAAGAGTCAAAAGGCAAAAAGCAAATGCATAGCCGTGCGATAGTATCAGGGTTAGCTTCCTCTGACTCAAAATTGGTTTTGACTAATCGGAAGCTAACTGGTGTTCAAGAAACAACTGATGTAAGATTTGACACTCAAATGGCTGCTGAAGCCATGGAAGATCTAAGCTTTGGATTGCATACAACTGGTGATGATTCCACTAAAGAAGGTGAAAATGGAAACAATATGCAAAAGGGTTCTCATAAAAGTCATAAAGCTCCACCTTTGACTAATGGAGTTAGAACAAGACAGTCTAAGTTAAAGAGGAGTGATGAAAATGAAAGAGAAACACATGACACAGTGACACTTAAAGAACCGAAGAGGGCTAAATCAGCTGCTAAAAAGAATGTTTCATCTGATATTGGGAAAAGAGGAAAGTTGACTTTAAAAAGAAAAGAAGTTGACACAGAAGAAGGTCAACTTACATCTGTTGACCAAATCCCAGTCAAGAAACACTGTATTCAAACTGTTATACCTGTAGCTCGTAGGACTAGGCAGTCAATGAGAGATTACAAGTCAGAAAAAGTCAAAGATGCTTCAAATAATCTCACAGAGGAGATAAATATTTTCCATCCGAAAGGCAAACGAACTTCCCGAAAATTGTCATCTGTTTCTAGATCAACAAGGTCAAAAGCTGCTATTTTGAATGAAGAAGGAAAAGAAAGTCCAGGGGTAGAAGGGTCAGAAAGAGAAACAATTGAACCAATTGCTACAACATGTACTACTCCTGTAAATCATGCAACACCTTTAAAGGAATCATCTCCAATCTGCATGGGAGATGAATATCTTAAACAATCATGGAAGAAGAGCAGTTTAAGATCTTCCATTATTCAAGAACCTGATAGCTTAACACCCACAAGAGTGGAATTTACATCTCCAATGAAAGATTTGAGAAAGAGGAGAGACTTGTCTATGATTCATGTTCTTTTTAGTCGCCATTTAGATGCAGACATAGTCAAGCAGCAAAAGAAGGTTACATATCATGGAACAAGCTTTTTCTTTTCTTTCAAAAAGCAAATTACAAAGCTCCTAATCTTTTACATACATGGAGTCCTTGATTTATCTTTCTAAACAATCATATTCTTTTTATACAGATTTTATCACGTATTCATGCTTCAGAAGCATGTTCAATGTCAGAAGCAACACATTTTATAGCAGATGAATTTACACGTACAAGAAATATGTTGGAAGCAATTGCCCTTGGGAAACCAGTAGTTACACATTTATGGCTTGAGAGTTGCAGACAATCTCATTCTCATATTCATGAGAAAAATTTCATTTTGAGAGATTTTAAAAAGGAAACAGAATTAGGGTTTAATCTCCCATCTTCATTAACACGTGCACGAAAACATCCTCTTTTCAAGGTCAGTCATAACAACATATTTTTTCTTATTAAATTAATCTATTCAACTTTCTGTTATTAGGACATTATACTTTTACAAAATTGAATTTAATAATTCAAATTTTTTTTTTATGCAGGGTCATAGAGTCTTGATTACCCCAAATACAAAGCCTGGGAAAGAAATATTAGCAAGCTTGGTCAAAGCAGTTGGTGGTGTGGTGCGTAATTTTTTTGTTACATGGTTTTAGAATATCTTAAAAGAAATATTAAAAAAAGTTAATAATATCTTTAAGGAAAGTTGTTACTAGCTTACTAAACACACTTTGAAAGTCAACTATATCCATGTTGACTAGTTTCCTGGATATAAGTACTAAAATGTGTTCATAAGAAATGACTGAAGAAGTTTGAATTTGTTTTTCGGTTATTATTAGTTTTATTAGTATTTCTTTCTTATTTTGGTATATAAATTTATTCCTTTGGTTGTGAATTTCTTATCAGGTGGTTGAGCGATTGGGTAGAACTGCAGTGAAGGATGATAAAGTTCCTGAAGGATTGATTCTATCATGTGAAGAAGATTATGCACTCTGTTTGCCTTTCTTAGAAAAAGGTAATTTAATATTTAGCTATATTAAATTATTTTCTTCATCAAAAAATATAAAGTTATGTTGAACCTTCCTATGTCCTACATTTATGCAGGAGCAGCAGTTTATAGTTCAGAGCTTCTACTGAATGGAATTGTTACACAAAGATTGGAATACGAAAGGTTAGCTCTTAATTGATTTGGTATGATGGATTTAGAAAGGAATGGAATGGTTGATTCCATTGGAATTAAAAAAAGTTGTTTGTTTTGTCTCATGGAATGGAATGAACCGTTTTTGATTTGATATGATGGAAGTAGAGAAGGAATGGAATTGCTCGTTCCGTTGAAATGACAACTGAAAAGTATATCCAGTTATAGCACAGTGAAAAGTGCTTTATATATTTGGATGGCATTTCTGTAATTTGGTAGATTTGTCAAAGTACAATGTTATAATAGGAAGAAATGAAATACAAACAAATGAAAGTAGGATGCTTTAATACAAACTAATGATTGAAAGTGCATTGCTATTTCCTGCATTTAACTCTTTCTCTATTTCTTGCAGACATCGCCTCTTTTTGGATCAGGTGAAGAGAACCCGTTCAAAAAATTGGCTGAATAAGCCCGTTAGTAAAGTGAAATAGATATTAGTCTGAATAACACTTGTCACTTGGGTTTTTGACTTTTTTTTTTTTTTTTTTTTTGTATGTAGTTTTAGCATGTAAATGTGTGAAAAGAGTAGTTTTTTTAGAAGTGTGAGAGTTTGTTTATTGTGTTGGACTTCATGATGCCATGTTATTTAGAAGAATCAAAGAGGTAGGTTGAATAGAGCTTATATATTGACCAAATAGCTTTTGACTTGATGACGTGAATTAAGTTTTACATCCTTAGGCATTTGTTTGTTTTTTGTAAATGTTTGTTGAAAAGATATAAATGCCCTTTTTTACCAAACACAACCTTTCTTGTTGGCCAAATTGACCAATAGCATCATTAGCATGGGCCGTTTTTTTGATATGTTTTGCAATTTAAATGATTTTCGTTTATTTCTTTTGTATAACTTTGATGGTTTGGTTATTTTGTTTCTTTGTATTGATTTAATAATTGACTTTAAATCTAAAGCCAATATTAGTGTATTTAAACAATTTCTAACTATATTAAACTAGCGAATAGGGATGTCAACCGGGGCAAACGGGACGGAGAATGCATCCCCCGCCTCTGCCCCCAAAATTATCCCGTTCCCCCGTCCCGAAATGTTCAGCCTTCCAACCCCCGCCCCTGCCCCTGAATCCCCTTTATTACCCCCGCCCCCGTTCCCCTGCCCCCGATTGATTTTGGGGTGCTTTTTTTGGGTTAAAAGAAGCTATTTTTTAGGTAACAAGTAATTATTTATAGCAGAATTTTACATGTTAAAAATAAAAAAGTTATGACATCTTAAAAACATCATACAAACAACTTAAAAACATGTTTTTTTGATGAATTTTGGAAGCTCAAAATCATGTTATTATTTATTATATTTATATAATTAATATATGTAAATAATAATATATGTGTAATTTATTAACGGGGTCCCCATGGGGGTTTCGGGACGGGATTGCCCACCCTCGCCCCCACTTTTTAAAAAAATTCCCACAAATGGGACGGGGCCCCTACGGGAACGGGGTCCCACGGGACTTTTTGACATCCTAAGCTATATACCTGTAGTGTTACTTTAGTGTATTAACATGTCAAACTAACGTATTTCTCTTTGTATATTTTTATAATGACCTTATGTAAAAATAAGAAAGTTTGTTTCTTTCGAGCTAAATAGCAATGTACTTTTTTTTCTATTTTTTTGTGATCTGATTCAGAAAATGGCAAGTTTTTTTTGGGTGTTAAATAGCAACATACTTTACTATGTCTAACTTTTTGTGACTTTATATCATTTTTTTTTCATGCTAAATTGCAACGTAAATTCAAAAAATCATTTTTTTTTGTGACTATTATTTTGTATCCGGTGCAAAAAAGGTGCAACTTCGTTTCTTTTTCATGCTAAATAGCAGCGTACTTTTTTTTTAAATGTGTTACGGTATGTATACATAACGTAAGTTGTCTAAAATATATTTAGAAAATGTGCATGCATCACTAAGTTTTAAAGTACATGAGGATGTTAAGGTTATATAGTATCATACTTATATTAGAAAAAAAAATATTACATACATCGAAATAAAATTTTGATGCTATAGAATATTTACATCAATCTTTCAAAATGAAAAAGTCGTATATGCATTTAATTTTTAGTCAGTGAGAATATGGTAAATAAAAATGAAGCATATATATTAGATGGGAGATGAGAAATAATTATGTTGGTTGTGCAACATTTAAAATTACACAAATTGTTTAAATTTAAAACATAAAACTAATAACTGGGTAATACTTCATATAAAATGTCCATATCAAAGCGAATGAAATTTCTTTGCATGTACGTAAATATAGTGGCATGGAAGAACCCAATAGCCTATTACTGCTGCCACAATGATTTCAAGTTAAAAATTACACAAATTTATTGCAACATTTAAAAACTACGAAAATTGTTTCAATTTAAAACATAAAACTAATAAATGGGTGATATTTTATGTAAAATGTCCATATCAAAGCAAATGAAATTTCTTCGCATGTATGTAAATATAGTGGAATGGAAGAACCCAATAGCCCTATTACTGTTGCCACAATGATTCAGAAAAAGTTAGAATAGCTAAAATATACTCCATTTTAGATTTCTTTAAAACATCATTTTTTTTAATCTTCGTTTAAACAGATTTGTTCTAGAATTGCGTCAACACGTCCCTTTTTTTTTCAGCAGCAACCTACGAAAATTAATAGAATGAGTGACAATGATTGTTAGAACTTTATTTTGACAAAAGTTTAATAAAATATTTTGGGGCCATCATATTTAATGTTTTATTTATTTATAAAATTCATGAAAAATACAATTAAAAAGTGTACGAGCTGTTGGGTATTAATATGTAATCTCGATAAAATTAAGAACCATGATATACACGATTATGCTCCTGAAGATTAAACAAAGAATACAAGAAGATTTAACCTGGTTCACTTGATCGATGTGATCAAGCTACGTTAGAAAGATTCTTTTTATTGATTTGAAAAGACTACAAAAACTATTTATTTACTGCACTCACGATTATGCTACTGAAGATTAAACAAAGAACACAAGAAGATTTAAGGTGGTTCACTTGATTGATGTGATCAAACTACGTTAGAAAGAATTTTTTTTATTGATTTCAAAAGGCTATACAAAAACTATGTATATACTACACTCATGATGTCAAATCACATACGCTTGTGTATCACTCTTATCATACCTTAGGGTTACAACAAAATGAGATGTGTTTATAAAGGCGGTACCCTAGATTTCAGGGTTGGGCCAATGGGCATTTGATTGGCGGGCATAAAGTCAAAACTTGATATCCAAGATTGTATAGATAGTATCGAAGCTTCGAGTTGCTTCGTTGCCGCTTCAGACAAAAGCTTCTAGGAATACCGAAATATGGACTATGCTTCGAAACCTGTGACCAAAGACTGCAATTCTGCTTGGACTTCACTTTTACATATCATTTCTAATATTTACCAAGACCAACTTTGTACTTCACTCTAAATCGAAGCTGTGATTGTGTCACACCCCAAAACCAGAATGGCGGAAACGTTTTGGGGTGAAGGACGTCATGTATAGCATCACAACCAATGTATAATAGCAATCATAGCAACGCAACCATTACAATGAATACTTAAATAAAAATGTTTACATCAATTTGGAAATCGTCTGAAACTTGTTTGAATTACATCATATAATTTGTATGAATATAAACATTAAACTCTTATTGCTCCAACTCCTCAAAAAAATCCAGCATGTACCTGTCTACTGATTTCCTGAGAATACAAGCAGTTTGAAAATATCAGCATAAAGCTGGTGAG